TCATGACTGTATAATTAATAGCCTGAAATGTATAAGAACTGGGGGGCTTGGGCTCTCGGGGCTTCCCTGGCTCTTCTGGCTCACACTTCTTTTGTCCTCCTTGTGCATCCTTGCAGCCTCGGCTGCGGCTGCCCCTCCCCCGCCCAGCCATGCTGGGCTGGGGGAGGTCGCTGGGTTACCTAGGCTAACCTGAATAAACCACCTTTTTGCCTCAGCACCAACTTCAGACTTGATGATTATCTGGGGGTTTCAAAAAACCGGCACAACACTCTCACCTGGGTGGCAGGGACACATGGCCTTGCGCCATCCCCTGCTGTCCCCAGGTGTGCGATGGAAGGAAGCTTGAATCAGAAGTGGCGCTGCAGCTTGAACCCAGGAATTCTCTTAGAGGATACGGTGTCCCGAGTGGCAACTTAACTGCTACCCTAGGGCTGGAATGCGTCACGGGTAGGTCAAGTTGCTACCTAAGGGGGGGTGGGGTTTGAGTCCCATCTGCTCCACTCATGATCTAGCATCCAGGTAACATGCCTGGGAGAGCAACAGAAGATGGGTCAGGTGCTTGGGCCCCTGCTACCCATGTGAGAGACCCAAAGGGCATTCTGGGCTCTTGGCTTTGCGTTCTGCCTTTCCAAGAATTACATCTTCCAAAAATAAATAAAGGAAGCATGCTCTACAAAATGTTTACCCCACTTTCTCATTAATTTTGAGATCACTTTATGAAGAACACAAAGCTTTACAAAGACAGTCACTTCCATGTAAGCAGTCTTGATTGCATATTTAAACATCTGAGGACTCCTGTGTTCTCTGAAGGTTGAATTTTCCTCCACATTCCCTACGTCATTTCCTGCGTAGTGGAGCAGTCTGCACGAAGTGCTAAGGTTATTGCTCTTCTTGGAGCCTCTGTCTCGGCTAAACGCCACAGCTCCTGGGCAGTCGCTCATGTTGTCCTCAACACAACAGCTCCGCCCAACACTGGGAGGCACCTGATGCCCTGCAGGTCACAAGGCGCAAAGAAGGGAGCCAACAGATTAGAGACTCTGCTGGCTGCCAGAGTGAGGGGCAAGCAAAGTCTTGGGCTGGGCCAGACTGAAGCCAGGAACCCAGCACTCCCTCTGGGCTCTCCCACATGAGTAGAAGGGGCCCAAGTACTTGAAGGGCCATCTTCTGCTACATTCCCAGGCACATCAACAGGGGGCTGCGATACTGCTGTTGCAGGCAGCAGCTTAACTCACTGTGCCAAAATGCTTGGTCCCTTGGTCAGCGCTTCAGACCATGGATCAGAAGCCACCATCTAGGAAAACATCCGGGATGCCCCAAATCATGCATTGTCCTCTATGTATTGTTAGTGCACCAAGGGCTTGCCAGGCATGGAGCGGTCATTGCCATATCTGGCAGTGGGTGACGTATGTAAATACTGCATAATTTGGAGTCACTGTATAACACCTTGCAAACTAGACTGCAAGCTGCATGAGGACAAGCATGGGAGTCTTCTCTGCTGCATGTGTGCCCAGCAGCCAGGAGGTAGGCAGAGCAGTCGCTGCTTTGTAACAGGGCTCTGAAAGTTCCAACAAATGCATGAACAAGTGCTGACACCACAGAAAGCACACACACACACACACACACACACACACACACACGTCTAGCTCACAATCCACCTTGGCTACACGGTGCCTAGCTTAGTAGCCTGTACAGCACACTCAGCACTGAAGACAGGAGGCCACGGCCACCAGATGCTGTTGACGTATCTAAACATACAAAAGGTACAGTAGAAATACCAGGTGATAGGAAATTTTCAGCATCCGTATAATCTTCTGGGTCAGTGTCATTGACGCACCCATTATTGACCAAAACGCCCCAAGGTAGTTCCTGAGAACAAAACGCCCAGCCTATCTAAAGTAAATGATACAGGCCTGCCTTGCAGGTGGAAGGTACTGAAACCAGGCCTATCTGATTTTCTTCTCAAGTGGACAGGGAAGCGCAGAGCAAGGCACCCAGTTGCCTGAGTGTAGGGGAGAACTCAGAAGGCAAACACAAGAGCAGGTGTGTGGCACTCTCCCTGCTGCAGAGGGGCTCTGAGCCCCTGGCACCCTCTAGCTCCCGTGGAACCCCAGCGATGGATACTGCCTTGCGTGCTTTTTTGTTCTTAAAGATGGATTGATTGATCTGAAAGGCAGAGTGACACAAAGAGAAAGAGAGACAAAAGAGAGGTTTTCCATGTGCAGGTTCACTTCCCAGATGCCTGCACAGACATACCTGGGACAGGTGGAAGCCTGGAGCCTGGAACTCCATCCAGGTCTCCCACAGGAGCCAACTGGGGAACCACGCACCTCGCCACCATCTACTGCTCTCCCAGGTGCATTGCTGCAGAGCTGGATGGGAAGCCAGGCAGCAGGGACTCAAGCTGGCACTCCTAAGCCCGCCCAGCCCTGATCTTTGAGACAGAGCACGCTACCGGGGGAAGCTGGAGAGGTGTCACTTTCTCATCGCTGAGAGTCTAAATGGGGCAGGAACTCTCCATGCAGGAAAACCCACCAAAGCAGCAGCTCTTTGTGGGCGAGTTGTAAAGCCCCAAGCAGAAGAAATGAAAACACAAGGCGCCTTGCATAATTTCCTCCAAAGACTTCAAGATCGCTTTTGAGGGGATTAGCTGTATCCTGGAACCATTCCCAAGCATGGTGCCAAAGGCAGCAAGCCGCCTTTGACAGAGATAAGGGTTAACGCTCCCGGGGACCTCCAGACGATCCTGCTCTAAGAGATGAAAGGCTATTAGCTGTGCACACTGCAAGGCTGCCTTGGACAAAGTAGGTTGTTTTCCACTAAGTCCCACGCAAGGGGCAATATATTTATATAGATGTAAACAAAACCAATTGATTTTCCCCCAAACTGTGACTGATGGAGGGCTTCTTAAGACTTGTAAAATTTCAAGTAAACTTAAAGATAGAGGCGTACTTGTGAAGTTTACCAGAACTCCAGAAAAGGCAGAAAAATTCCAATGCCTTAGACTTCTGACTAGATTACATTACACTGAAATGCAATAAAGGGGAAAACCCCTAAGGGTTGCTCTACACTTAACAATATCAATTTCTTGATTATATGTCCACAGGGCCATCCAGGATGAAATGTGTTATCTTTGAAAGGTTTACTTACTCTAATTCAAAGGCAGTCTGACAAAGAAGGAGGGAGAGACAGGGAGAGATCTTCCACCTGCTGGTTCACTCCCCAAATGCTAATAATGCCCAGGGACTGGCTGGGATTGGAACTGGGAGCTGAGAAGTTACTTCAGCTCCCCCAGCTACTCAAGCCAACGCCTGTTGCTCCCTACGGATGGTACCAGGAGGAAGTTGGCACAGGGAGTGGAACCAAGACTATAACACTGGATAAGGATGCATTCCTGGCATCTTCACTGGTAGGTACATCACTGTATCTGGGCTCTTTGACACAGAGGACTGTGCTGAACCATGGGCAGGACCAAGTCACTGTGATACAGCTGGTAGAAAGACAAGACTTTTCTGAGCTGGGCGACAGCATCAAGAGGCTCTTTCAATGCTCCTCCTATGTGAATTTTTTGAGTTCTCATTAGATGACGAATGTGAAAGCAAATAACATGAGAGGGTTAACGCCTGCGACAGAGAATAGCTTGGTTTTTCTTAAAGAGACAGTACAACAATTGCCGCCCTTATCTGCAGGGCACATATTCCAGGACTCTCAGTGGATGTCTGGATCCTATAGATGCTACCTTCTCCCTGCACACATAAGCATATGATAAAGTTTAATGTATAAGCGCATCACAGCAGAGATGACTAGTAGCTAATAGAGAATAGTTACACCATGAAATACATGTTGCATGAATGTGATCTTTCTTTTTCAAAATATCCATTGAATATTTTTGCGTTGTGTTTGCACACAGACAATTGAAGCCACAACAAGCAAGGCCGTGGGTCAGAGCGTACCACTGTCACATGCGGTGAAAAGAGTGCGGTATTTGAAGTTAGGAAACCCGGGTTTGAAGATTGTAAGTGTTCTCACTACATTTGGGTTGACACCAGGATTTTGAGAAAAGAAACCAAAACAGGTAAGTCAGGTACCTGGATTGCTAGACTGTGAGACACGGCCAGTGTTCAACATCACACTCATTAATAGCATGGGTTACTTGACATGTGTTTGTAAATGACATGCGTTATAAATCTAAGAGTCATTATCCATTTCCTGTAAAAGTTGTGAAGGGTTTTTCCAGGTTTTTGGCTTTGCTGTCATTGCAAGTGAGGAATTGGAAGCCAGGATATTTTGGTGTTCAAGCCTTGCGGTAGCTCAGACGAGCACACACTGACTCCTGGGGCCGAGCAGACGGAGCCCTCAGGATGCAGATCTCAGAGGTGAGGTTAGTATAAACAGAGAGAGATGTTCCTCTTCCTATTCAAAGTCAACACAAACATGTAAGAAATGCCTTCTATTTGTGGAAAGTATATGGTTCAAAAGAGTAGCTTGGTAGGTAATGCTCAAATAGAGAGGAAAGGGCAAGGACCCAAGTGGGTCCCCAGCATGCCGTGAGAAAAATGAGGGCCTGGATAAAGTGAACTGAGATTCTAGGAACTGACACGCTACTGGGGGAGAGGATCTCTCGGCAAGCAGATCACCACATGATCTTGTCTGGGGTCTCAGAAGGGAGAACGCAGGACTTTATAGGTCTCGACATAAAGACACTGTCCATCAGAGTCTATAGCCAGGCACCTGCATTGTCTGTCTAGAAGGGCAGATGTGAACAGGGCATAAGCGCAGCAAAATGTCTGTATTTCACTTGGTGATTCCAGTCAACAGAGCGTTTGCTGATGCAGCACACAGCCAGGGGCTTAACGTCCAGCTGGAAACCTTGGGGAAGGACTGTACACCACAAGCCCCACTGTTGCCCTGGGTTTTGCTCCCTTTGCCAAATGCACAAAGCTCTAACAAATGAAGGTTTTAAAAAGGGCAGCTTCCCTCTGACCCATTTTCATTGCACTCACAGTGTGGTTCGTAAGGAGGTGGAGGGTCTCCGCAAGGCACGCATTCCATGTCTTGAAATCCAACCAGTTTAGTCTTCCTGTAAAACCTAGAAAAGAAAATAATCCTTGTTAGTGGACATCTAAGCACACAATTTCAGCCAGTGAGACTATGGCATCATCAAACAAGCCGGCTCATTTACCAGTTCCGCAGCTTAAAATAAACAGTAAAGGTATGTGCAGGCTTCAGTAGAAGAGACTCTGGGGCGGATACATCCCTGCAGAGTCCACCTGAGTGGGCACAGAACACTGAAGAAATATCAATTGCACTAAACATCACACTGCAGAATTTTCTCTGCCCACCCTTCTTCCTGATTTGGGACGCTCATGAGGGAATATGCAAACAATGGCTTTTGACATGTCTATGGTAATTTAAACTAACAATAACCTTAAAATAGGCTACTCACTAACACTGAAGTGTGCAGGTATCAAAAAAAAAAAAAGCCAGAAAACCAGTAAAACTCCAGAGATACTCATGTATGCTTGACATGCGGATGCCTTTTAAAGCAAGACAAGAAATCTAGGAACCAGAATAAAGAGATGAGCAGCTTTGACAACCCCTGCCACCTCCCCACACTCATAAAGATTTCAAACACATCTGAGCAGCAAAAACAAATTAATAAGGCGCCATCAGCAGCTAACGAGCAGAATGAAACTGAAAAAAATTGTTCCAATTATAATATTATCTATAATTTAAGTCTAAAACTTGAAAATCATTATGGTGAAAGCAAACACCACAAGCTGAAAAACAGGCAAAGCACATTCATTTTCAAAAGAACGTTGCATCACTGAAAGTTTTCCCAATTAAAACTAGAAAGCATGATGCTATTACGAAGTTTAAAAACTTTAAAGGGTTTAACTTCATTACCAATCAAGCACATGCAAGTTGAAGCAAAACGTGTAATTTTTACGTACAAAAATGGAAAAAGTATGGATGTGAGCACAGGCCAGTAACACACGCATGCAGTTCCAGCTGGAACATAAACCAGCTACTTTGAGTAGTACATGCATCATCAGAACCCAAAAACATGGTTGACTTTTTTTAATCCAGAAATTTCATTTTTAGAAATTTATTTTAAAGTAACAGCCAATCAAGTAAGGCTGTATGTGTCAGACTACAATGGCAGTCCTGCTTGCAAAACAAAGGCAGCCAGGCCCAATCTGAACATCCACCAAGAGAAATAACCCACCTTGGTAGACCCTAGGAAGTGGAACACAAGGTGGCCTTTAGCAAGTTGAGGTGGTTCTACCATGTGCATGTTTAGGTTAACAAAATATTAAGTGTAAAAAAGAGGTATATATTATATAATTCTGTATTGTGCACTCAAACCCTACTACAGACTCTTCTTTATCGATGTGGATAAAAAATCTTTATGTGTATATATTAGCACCGAAAATGTTTCAAAGAATATTCTATCCACATTGCTATGACAAAGACTAATTATTGCAGAATGGTTGATGTAATTATCTTGTGGAGATGAGCAACACAGATCTGTATCATCTATGGTTCAGGCAAAACTTGCATTTGTTACTAGGGAGGGTATAGCACCCAGATACATGCCGTAATTGCTCGATGCTCTTCTCCTATTTGACTAGGAAGATCTGCCCAATTGATATATAACACAGTGACTTTCCAAAACGTTTTATAAAGACTATTCATTTTGGAACTCATGAAACCAAAATTAAAGATCCAATGAGAGAATTTAAATTTCTCATTTGAAAACCCTTTTTTCTTTTTTTTTTTAAATTAGAAAGTCAGATATATAGAGAGAATGAGAGACAAAGAGGAAGATCTTCCATCCGCCGATTTACTTCCCAAGTAGCCGCAACAGCTGGAGCTGAGCCAATCCGAAGCCAGGAACAAGAAACTTCTTCTGGGTTTCCCACATGAGGGCAGGGTCCCAAGACTTTGGGCCGTCCTTGAGTGCTTTCCCAGGCCACAAGCAGGGCACTGGATGGGAAGTGGAACAGCCAGGATATGAGCCAGTGCCCATAGGGGATCCTGGCACATGTAGGGTGAGGACTTTAGCTACTAGGCTGCCGTACTGGACCTTGAAACACATTAAAAAATTATACTAATAAAAACAGTAGTGCTGGCATAAAGATGGATAAAGAAATCAATGAATTTAAAATGAGATTCCAGAAATAAATTCTTGTAGACATGGTAAATGATTTTTATCAAGGATTCCAGGACGACTCAATAGGGAGATGACAGCTTCTTCAAGAAATGGTATTAATGAAGTTGAACACCTACATGCAAAAGAATAAATCTGGGGCCTGGTGCAATGGATCAACTAGCTAATTCTCACCCTTAAAGCGCAGGATGCTACATGGCACCAGGATGCTATACGGGTTCAGGCTCTGGCCGCTCCACTCCCCATCCAGCTCCCCGCTTGTGGCCTGGGAAAGCAGTCAAGGACGGCTGAAAGTTTTGAGCCCCTGCACCCATATGGGAAACCTGGGAGACGCTCCTGGCTCCTGGTTCAGTTTCAGCTCAGTTCTAGCCATCACGGCCATGTGGGAGTGAACCAGTAGATGGAAATTTTTGTCTTGTTCTGTCCTTCTCTCTGCACATCTGCCTTCCCAATAAAAATAAATAAATCTATAAATGTCTTGGATATGACACCAAATGCAAAGTCGACAAAAGCAAAATCTGATAAATGGGAAAATATCAGAATAAAAATCCTTTGTGCAGCAAAGTACAAATCAACCGTGAATAAACAGCCTATGGAAATGGAAGAAAATATTTGCAAGTCTATGTTCCCTGAGGGGCTAACATCCAGAGTCTACAAAGAACTCTTACAACAAAATAGATCTGGTCAAAAATGGGAAACAATTGGCACAGACATTTCTCTGAAGATGACACCCTTAGGACCAGCACCCACATGAAAGGATGCAGAGGGGAAATCAATTGGTCTAGTGCTGAAGCCACCAATCAGGAAGCCCAATTCTCCCACTGGAATGCCTGGCTTGATTCCTGCTACCAGCTCCTGACTGTCACTTCCACTAATGCAGGCCCTGGCATGCAGGGGTGATGGCTCAAGTGACCGACCGTTACGTAGGAGGCCTGAGTCGAGCTTCTGGCTCCTGCTTTCCGTCCTGTCTGGGGACGCCACAGTGGGCATTTCAGGAGCAAACCAATGAAGAGGAGCGCTTCCTCTCTCAAGTAACTGGAAATGTCAAGGTAAATAAATACACGACAATCTTCTTTCTAAGAAGAAAAGATGCTCCACACCACTAACCATTAGGAAATTGCAATTAAAACCACGGGGAGGTCCAACTTCGCACACTATGAGGTTGACTATTACCTGACAAACAACACGGAAAACCCCAGCTGGAAAGCAATCAGTGTTAGAGGCTGCAAAGGGGTTGGGGGGGGGGTGGCGTTGTGCAACGGTGCCATCGCCATGAATACAGTATTTCCACAAATCTTCAAAAACAGGACTATCCTTGGATCCAGCAGCCCCGTTTCTCAGAAGTGTTCAAGGCTGGGTTCTGAAGAGCTATATGCACGTTCATGGTCATCGTACCATTACAACAACAAGGAGGGAGGAGAAACCCAAATGTCCACTATTGAGTGGTTTCATAAACAAACTGAAATATACACATGCAGTGGAATACTATCAAACCTTAAAAAGGAAATTGGCATGTCGAACGCTACAACATGGACAAACCTTGAGAATACTACTGTAAGGGGAACAAGCCAGGCACAGAAAGATCTACCCAGCACGATTCCATTTTCTATGAGCTAGTTAGAGCCTCAAATCCAGAGAAGCAAAGTAGAAGAGAGGTTACTGGGCTTAGGGAAATGGGGAAACAGGGAGTTAACTAACAGAGCAGCAGTTTAGAAGATGAGAAAAAAAATTGGAGATTAGTTTGCATGCACCTCACACGACTAGATAGTGCACTTGAAAATGGTAGCCATGGAAGGCCTGTGTTGTGGTGTAGTGGTTAAGCCACAGCTGTGACACGGGCATCCCATTTGTGAGTGCTGGGGGGCTCCCAGCTGCTCTGCTTCGCCAATGTAACTGAAAAGATAGCAGGTGATGACCCCAGCATACTTAGGCCTCTGGCACCCCTGTGGGAGGCCTGCATGAAGTCCTGGCACTGTCTAGGTCCATTTGAAGGTTAATCCAGAAGATGACAGACCTCTCATTCTGTCACCACCTTTTATATAAATCTATTTTTAAAAAATTAAGATAAGTTGTATGTGTGTTTTTATTATAACATGCAGCAAAATCATGACCATAAAGGCAAGCTTTATGTAAGATGCAGCATACGCACACTGATACTTTTTATTTAGCTAGAACTGGCTGCCATATAAGTTGATTAAATTTTGACAATGCCTAAGATGGTTTCTTTTTTTTTTTTTTTAAGATTTATTTTATTTTTGGGCCCGGCGCGGTGGTGCAAGTGGTTAAAGGTCCTCGCCTTGCACACCCGGGATCCCATATGGGCGCCGGTTCTAATCCCGGCAGCCCCGCTTCCCTTCCAGCTCCCTGCTTGTAGCCTGGGAAAGCAGTCAAGGACGGCCCAAAGCTTTGGGAACCTGCACCTGCGTGGGAGACCCGGAAGAGGCTCCTGGCTTCGGATCGGCATAGTATCGACCTGTTGCGCTCACTTGGGGAGTGAATCATCGGACGGAAGATCTTCCTCTCTGTCTCTCCTCTCTGTATATCTGCCTTTCCAATAAAAATAAAATAAATCTTTTTTTTAAAGATTTATTTTTATTTTTTTTTATTGGAAAGGCGGATATACAGAGAGGAGAGACAGAGAGGAAGATCTTCCGTCCGATGATTCATTCCCCAGGTGGCCACAATGGCTGGAGCTGAGCCAATCCAAAGCCAGGAGCCAGGAACTTCCTTCAGGGTGCAGGGTCCCAAGCCTTTGGGCTGTACTCGACTGCTTTCCCAGGCCACAGGCAGGGCGCTGCATGGGAAGGGGGGCTGCCGGGATTAGAACCGGCGCCCATATGGGATCCTGGGGCATGCAAGGCGAGGACCTTAACCACTGCGCCATCGCGCTGGGCCCCTAAGATGGTTTCTTATAG